ACGGCCCCGCTTCCCCCAGGTGGTCAGTGCCCTTGACAAGATGATCCGGAACCCAGCCAGTCTCAAAATCGTGGCCAGGGAGAACAGCGGGTGAGGACCCCAGAGGGTAGGCCTCCTTCCCACACTCTGCCACCACCTGAGAACCACCCCACCCTCCCCCTCAGAAGTGTCTGGCCCTCTGGTGGTATGTGGGATTGTCCATTGTCTTCGTCTGTGGCTCAAAGTCCCCACCCTGACGTAGCCCCAGAACTCAGCATACCGCTCCCCACCCTTGCCTTCCAGGGCCTCACACCCACTCCTGGACCAGCGGCAGCCTCACTACTCCGCTTTTAGCTCGGTGGGTGAGTGGCTTCGAGCCATCAAGATGGGACGATACGAAGAAAGTTTTGCAGCCGCTGGCTTTGGCTCCTTCGAACTGGTCAGCCAGATCTCCGCTGAGTAAGTCGTAGCAGGGGCTGGAGGTGGCGGCTGAGATCCAGGCAGTCTCGGGGCACCTGGGGACCAGAATTAGGCCTGCCAGTTTAGCAGGGACCTTTGCAGGCAACTCCTGGTGCCAACTCTGTCATCTAGAGTACCCCGAAGTAGCAGCTCTGGGGACTGAGGGCCCAGGGCCCGCCTCACCCCCTTGAGCCACCTCAGCCCCAGGCCATCTTGCTCCTGTCCTGCCCTGTGTATCTCCCCTTGTGCATCTATCTACATTCCAGACCCTGCTCTCACATTAACAAAGTGTCAGCTCTGGCTGCTTTCCCACCCATAAAAGGAGAAGGTTGGATGGGGTTTTGAAGACCATTTCCAGCATTAATGTTAAATGGTTTTATGGTTCTAACGCCTCCCTGGCACTGTGTCCCCCTAGTTGGCCTCTCTGGTTCTCGACCTCTCCGCCTGCGCATTTCCCTCCCAGGCTCTCTTTGCAGACCAGGTTTGAATAACACAGGGAAGGAAGAGAAATCTGGAACCGGAGGGCGGGAGGCAGTCTCCCAGTGGGGCAGGCCATGCCCCACCCCCTCCACCCCCCCACCGCCCTGACTTGTTCCAGCGACGCCCTGACACAGGTCCCTGCTCTCCATTTCCCACCTCTGCTGTTTTCCCTTATCTCGGGCTCCAGGCCTCAGGATGGGGGGGGGAGGCAGCTCAGTTTTCGCTCTGCCCCACCCCTTCCTCTCCACCCCCTCTTCGTCTTTTGGGCTTTTTCCTTCTGACTTCTCTTTTCTCCTCCAGAGAAATCTGTGCAGCCTCTTCCCCCACCGTCATCTTGTGCGCTTTTCTTTCATTCCAACCCCTTCGCTGATTCTCTGCCTTTTCCTAATCCTTGCCGGAGCCCCAAGCTGCAGCCCGCCAACCTCCAGTCTCTGGCCAGCCCTGCTGCGCCCCTCCACTGCAGCTGCGCAGAAGGACTACTTCCAACTCCTGCAACCTCTGGAAACTGCCCGCAACTATTGGCAACTGCTGACGCGTACCCCTCCCCTGCCGGCCTTCCTGATTGGCTGACATTCCAGAGGCGGGGCGTGGTGTCTGGCGCTAAGACAACCTCCCCGGGAGCCCTACGGCCTCACCTAGCTCTCTCCCTCCTTCCCCAGGGACCTGCTCCGAATTGGAGTCACTCTGGCGGGGCACCAGAAGAAAATCCTGGCCAGTGTCCAGCACATGAAGTCCCAGGCCAAGCCTGGAACCCCAGGCGGGTCGGGAGCACCAGCCCCCCAGTACTGACCTGCACCTGCTTGTCTGCCCCACGGCTCTGGAGCGGCAGGAACTTCCCAGCTGGGGACACAGCTCCCTTTCTTCCTGGGCAGAGCCGGATAGAGGACCCAAGAGGTCACCATACCTGGGCCCCACTGGATTGCACTTTGAACCCATGGGGGTTGGTGGGGGGGGGGGGGGAGCCGGCAATTTGGAGAGACAGGATTTGAGGATTCTGCCATAGGAGTGTAGAAATCATCACATGCCCCCCAGGCGGGAAGCCCTTCCCTCAGGATTGGGTGTGACCAGAGGGAAAAAGGAAGCGCCTCTAATCTGCCAGCTTCCCAGGGGTGGTTGGGCTCGATTCCCACAGCCTCCCTCTGATCCCCAATTAGGGCCCCCGTGCCCCTCCTCACCTCAAAGGGCCAGTGCACTGCCCTGCAGACCAAAGAGAAGAGGGTAACTAGCCTGAGAGCTCGGAGTGGAGCGCGCCGCATCTCGGCGGGAGGCGGGAAGGGGCGTCGTGGACCAGTGACAAAATCATTGGACACGGATGTCCCCGACCTTGCTGCTGTCTTCCCGAACTCAGTTTTCCCTTGTAAATGCCCCTCCCCCATCTGCTGCCTTCATATTGAAGGTTTTCGAGTTTTAATTTTTTGTTTTGGTCTTATTTTTCCTCCTCCCCCCCCCACACCCGTTTTTTGTCGTTGTTCCTTGTTGTTTTGTTTTTTTTCCTGTCCTTGTCATAACTATCTGTGTTGGGTTGGGGAGGGCCTGTTTTATTATTGCCTCCTTTGCCCTGGGGTGAAACAGGGACTCATCGTCGTGTCTGTTTCCGGAATAGTGCCTTGGTCCCACCACAACTCCCAGACACCGTCCTGCCCCCACGGAGCCCCAAGCTGTGTCCATGAGGGAGTGTGGGGGGTGAGGTGGTGGTGGAAACCAGAGACAGACACCGGTGCTTGGAGGGATTCTTAAATTATATTTAAAACAATCTTTTTTTGTATAAATAAAAGAAAATGGGAAGCGTTGCAGTCCTGGAGGTGATTGGGAGTGGGGGATGGACTAGGTTTCTGCAGAGAATGGGGCCTGGGTGTGGAGGAGGGGTCGGAGGTCTGGAGACAGGGCTGTGGGGGGCTGCGGGCTTGGTTCCCAGTCCCAGGGTGTGTTTGAGGTGGTGGGGTGGGGGCAGTGGGAGATGAGTCATTGGCAGCTGCTTCTAACGGCTCCAGATGGCTCTGCCAAGAGCCTGGGGCACCTCCGGGGTGGGGCTGCCCCTTCCCTCCCCAGCCCAGTTCCCCAGCGTTGGGAGGGGGCCAGGGGAAGCCTTGAGCTTATAGCCCTGCCCTACAGCCCCCGATGGGGAAGTGGGGGGCATTGGCTGGGGTGGGGGTCCACTCAGATGGAGACAGATGTGGGTCAGATGTGGACAGCTGGGGTTGGTTAGAGGCAATGGGGGGGAAGAGGCTGCATGGGCTGTGGGGGAGGGGCAGAGAGCTGGTATGAGGGATGTGGACCCCCCACGGGTGTGCACGCATGCGCGTGCACACACACACACTCACACTCACTCGCTCTAGGCTGAGTCTTGGGAAGACAATTCCCTCTTTCAAGATGCTGCCCAGGCAGGTTCTCCCAGCCTCTTGGGAAGGGGAGGGGAAACCACCTGAGTGTCTTACCCCAACTTCTCCCTCCCAAACAGGAAGACAGGAATGGGGTCAAGCCCCTGCTAGTCTTTGTGGCCATGTTCTGTTCCTTCCCTCCCAGTCTGCTCACCCCCAGGGACACCTGCAGGGGCCAGCGCCATTTAGCTGGGGCGCCCGTGCAGTTTCTGCCTCAGTTGCCCCCTGTTGTGTTGGGGTCCGTGCAGAACCCCAAATCACAGCTGCCCTTCCCAGTCTAGGGAACCCCAGGTGGTGATCCTGTCTGCAGTTTCCTACCTGTAGCAACCTCTTCTGGAGTCCCAAATACTCTGGAATCCTCTGTCCCCTCCCTTGATGAACCATCACCCATGTTTTGCACACCCAAGGGGTCTGGGAGGGACTCTCTCCTGCCAAAGATGGAGGGGGCCTGGGTCCCAGAGGAGGAGGTCTCTCTGGAGGATGCCAGCCCAGGCCAGCCCTTTCCCCTGCCAACCAGATATCTGGGCTAGATAAGGTGACCTCAAGTTCTTGAGGCGAGGAATAGAGGTCAAGATGACAAGACACAAATGAGTAACAGGTAAACAGGCAAACAGGAGGTGAAGGGAGCTGACATGGGGGCAGGTGTGCAGCAGGGAGCCCCCCATGCCCAGGCTAAAGCACCAGCCAGCTCGTAGAACCCCGAGTGCTCCAGCCATGCCCAGCTCCAGAGGGCTCCCTGCAGCCAGCCTGGTCAGGGGCCATACATTCCTCCTCGGACCCCTCCCCACCCAGCTAGGAACTCAAATCCTTAAACATAGGGGGCTTCAAGGGTCATCTCAGAGAACAAGCACAGGACCCAGTGTCCTGCCTGCTTTGGTACCCCCCCCCGTCCCTTGGGGTCTTCCATCCTGACCACCCCAACCCCAGCTGGTGGCCTTCCTTTCCTTCTTGGGGCCCAAGCAGGATATCCCAGCCCCTACCCCCAAGCGGGGACCTGGCTGATGGGCCCTGGCTGATGGGACGCACGGGACCCGGGGGGAGGGGTCAGGAGGGATCAGAACAGATGCCCTTTGGCCTCAGGCTGAGGTTAGCCGGCCACTCCTGCTAGGATGGGGCTCCGAACTCCTGGGTCCCTGGACCCCACCCTCAATTGCCATAGTAACCCCTATGCCCTTTTGGGAAATGGACTGATGCAGAAGGTGGAGGCCTCCAGAGGGTCACAGGCCATCGGCCCTTTGGAAAAAGCCACATTCCCCATCCCCAGCCTGCACCTGGTGATTAATCTCATTGTCGGAAATGTCAGAATCCTCAGGATCACCTTCCATGGCCCCAGGTTCCTGGGAAGATGGACAATGCAGTCTTTTCTCCTGTTGCCCAGAAGCCAGAGGGCTGGACGCCCCGACCCCAAACGACTTTGTCCAAAGCACAGGCAGACCTCGGTCCCCCCTCCCGTCCGGACGTTTTGCAGGGCACCCAGCCCTAGCCTCCCCCCACCGCCCGCACCCCTGGGTCCCTCCCTCCTACTCCATTCTCCTGCCCCAGGGCCCACCTCACAGACCCTTCCTCTACCACAATCACGTGGAAATTCACATTTCAAAAATAAATTTTATTTTCTCTCTCCTTTTTTGAGGACAACTCAAAACTGAGAAACTTGAACCACATGGTCTGGAACAAAATCTGAGGAGAAAAGTGAGAAAACCTGTATCAGAGGCAGACTCGGCTCCCGGTCGCCAGGGTGCTGGGGCAGGAATGGTTCTCACCAGCGTCTGCCAGCCTGTCTCTGTTCTGGCTCTGCATTTTCTCCCTGGGGGTTGTGGGGAACAGAGGAGGGTAGGTGCCCGCTCCCCTGCTGACTCATCACTACCCACCCCTGCTCGTCCCTTTTCCCAGAACTCACCTCCTCCTCCTCCCCTTCCTGGAAAGACATTCTCTGGTCACTGCGGGCACCAGGACCACCACAGGCACAAGCATCCCCAACAGGACAGCCACAAAGTTGGATGCCCCTGGGGTGCAGGCAACGGAATGTAGGGATAATGGTCAAGAAGGCATGGGGGAGGAGACACTCATTGGATCCTAAGTGGCCATCCAGAAAGGATGGCCACCCCTAACTCACGGGGTGTGGCTAGATCTCCCTCTAGGGCTGAAGGCTGCTGCTCCAAGGCCTTGGCACCATACCCCTAGGATCCCTTTGAGTTTCTGGACACACAACTCCCATCAGCCTTGTTAAGGGGCCCCGTTCATCCCGCTGGTCCCCTAGAGTCTGGGCTGCCATCTTGGCCAGTGCTTCCCAAAGACCAGCCTTGGAATCCCTTTCCTCAGTTACCTGGGAGCTTGGCATGAAGTTCTCACCTGGCTTTCCAGGGGCTGGCCCATCCCGGGGCTCCGTGCAGAGGTGTCCCCCATAACCAAGTTCACACTCACAGGTGAAATGGGTTCCCTGCTCCCAGCACCGCCCGTCATTCTGACACGGGTTCTGCAGACACGGGCTTTCTGTGTGGATAAACGGGGTTATGGAAGGTTCTAGAAGGATACCCACAGCCAGAGAGAGGGGAGGGCATAAGGAGCTAATGCCAGGAAAAGGCCCAGCCCCGTGCCTGACAGGAAGCAGCTGTTTACTCCCTCGGACCCTCCTGAGAAAGGAGCAAAGAGCGGGACTAAGTGGTCCAACTTCCTGACAGTGGCAGCAGGGGTCTCGGGCACAGGACACAGCATCCACCCCCCACAGGCAGGGGCCGCTTGAAGCCCCAGACAGGTCTAGGCTCACCTCGGAAGCAGCCACGAGTGAGGTTCGCCAGGGTGCAGATCTCCCCAGCACGGCAGCTGAGGGGCTCACACAGCAGCGCCCCAGAGCGGGCACAGGTGCAGCGCTGAGAGCAATCCTCAGTCACAAAGCTGTCACCCCGCTGCAGAGGGGAGAAGGGCCGGGAGGAGGCAGTCTGGCTTTCCTCCCTCCTCCGATTCTCCTGTGCCCGCAGGGCCTCCCCATCCCCGCGCGGACCTGGTAGTAGACTCCGTTGCTGGTGCAGCCACAGTGGGCTAGGGGGAGGCTCTGGGCACCGCTGTAGACATAGCCCGGGAGGCTGGCACAGCCCTCCACGCAAGGGCCCTCGCAGTCCTTAGGGGCCGCCAGGTGGGCACAGGAGGCCGGGCAGGGGGTCATACAGCTCTGATAGACGGTGTTGGCCGGACATGCCAAGGCTGACAGGAAAGTCGGAGTGAGCGGGTGGCCAGGCGGGGGCGGAGCCAACAGGTATGGGGACCACGGGGGCTGGCAGCTGGAGGGGGGACGCCGTCATTCACCAGAACACAGAGCTTGGAAGAGGGGACCGGCTTTGGGGGTCTTTTGGTCTGACATTGAAGTGTGCTAAGGAAGCGGCAGAGCAAGGCTGGGCCCGGGCAAGAACTAGAACGGGACGGGAGGGCGGGGCTGGGGTGAGGCTTCTTGGGCCCGGCCGGGGCCGAGAGGGAGGCTGGCTGGGGAGGACGGGGTCCTCGGGGAGTCAGAAGTGGAGGACAAGGCGGGAAGCCCGAGGCGGGCAAGGGCGGGGGCTCAGAGCCGAGCAGGGGGCAGAACCGGCCTTGAGGGTCAGGGAGCAGCTGCTGGGGAAGGTCAGTGCCTCACCGCATCGGGTGTGGTCCCGCCAGCTGGCCAGGGCGGCGCCCGCCTCCTGGCAGATGATGGCGTACCCGCTGAGGACCTGGCATCGCAGTTCCTCCTGCTCTCTGGGGTTCCGGGCGGCACACAGATCAAACACACAGTGCCTGGGGGCAGCAGGGCGGTTAGGGGGCTGGCAGAGGTGGGGAGGCAAGGAGACCCAGCAGAAAGACAGCGGGCAGGGTGTGTGTGTGTGTGTGTGTGTGTGTGTGCGCCCGCGTGCGTATGTGCATGAGTGTGAGCGTGTGGGGAGGGGAATCGCCAGGAACGGAAGCCACCAAGAGAAAGAAGTGAGCCAAATGGGGCTTGGATCACAGAATGGGCAGCAGGACCCAGAGAAAGGCCACTTCCATGTGGCCTGGGGCCTTGACTCACTCCTGGAAGGGCTCGGGGGCCACAGTCTGGTGACAGGCAGCAAAGGGGCCCTGGGGGTCCACCAGCACCCTGCACGCCTGGGTGCTGTTGATGAGCTCCAGCTGCTCTGGGCCGCATTCTGACACATGATAGCCTGACTCCTTCTTCTCCTCCTCTTCATCCTCTTGTATGGCCCTGGAGCAGGGACCAAGAGGGGGCCAGGTGAGGCCCCTGAGGACCATGACCTTGGGAGGAAGTGGTGGGGGGAGGAATGGGGAGGCACAGGGCACAGCCTGGGGCCCGTAGGGCCGGTGCCCCCGCAGTGGGTCTGAGGCAATGGCAGGATGAGAAAATGGGGCCCTCGGGGGTCCTTCTCTGCTAAGGACATGGGGCGAGCGGGCGTGGGCAGGCACCGGGCTGATGTTTACCTCCCCAGGGGCCAGGCCTCCGTGCTCCGAGCCCTAGCCCTCTCACCTTGAGAAACGGGCGAGGTCAACTCCTGTGATCCTCTGTACCTCCCAGCTGTTGCCGAAGGTGACCAGGTTCTGGGTGATGGTGCCGTCGGGCAGCGTAAAGTCATTACTCTTGTTCCCGTCGAAGTTCCCGCACAGGCCACGCACGAGCCCCTTATACTTGTTGGGCAGCGTGATCACTGCAGGAGGAAGGGGGTCCAGAAGTGAGGCTCCCCCCCTCCTCCCCGCTGCTCCTGGCTGCTCCCCTGGCACTGGGGGCTCCTCACTGTGGCTGGCCTGCCGACGATGTGGCTTTCCCTGACCCAGCGCAGGAACATCGCCTCTGCTCTCCCCTCCCCGCTCTCAGGTACCTGCGTTTTTGCCTCCATCGAAGGTGACAACCATCTCAAAGTCAGTGATCAGATACAGGCGATGGCCCCGCAGGGCGACCTGCAGCCGGTCGCTGGGCTTGTAGGGGATGGCCGTCCTCTGGTTGTTGACCTGGAGAAGGCGGGCGGGAGCAGCCGAGAGTCTGGAGTAAGCCTGACCTCTGCTGCCTCTCTGCACGGCTCGGTATCTGGGTGCCATCATTCTGAGGTTCCCCAGTAGGCTTTGCTACCCCATGTGGCAAAGACCTCCCCAAGGTCGCCTCCCTTTGCAGCCATAACCTCTTCCTTGCAAAAACATTTGACTGAGCGGGTGCCCCCTGTACTACTCAGCCCAGCTTCCCCTTTGAACCCCCTCTTCTCTCCTTCCCTCTCCTTCTCCCCATCTCTCTCCAACCTTTTGCTCCATCCCACCACCCTCCTCTGCCTCTGAGTGTGGGCACCGATTCTGAACTCGATGGCGAGGCAGCTCAGGCCAGGACCTTCCCGGGGAACAAGGAGTCCTGGCTTTACCTGTGTTCAGGGGCTTCCCACGGCCTGGCCTGCCTCCCCAGCCCCTCCTGGCCTGGCCTGGCTCTTACCACCAGCTCCAGATGAGCCTTGAGCTGGACTGTGTAGCCGTAGACCATCACGATGATCTCATGCAGGTAGATAGGGCTCCAGGATGAATACACTTTGTTGCGCCCTTCCACGACCAAAGGCACCACCCCAGCAGGGAGCACGCCGATGGCCTTTATCAGCGTGTAGGTCATGCGGCCGCGGAAGAGGTAGCTGAGGCCATCAAAGGTACGGTAATGGGGGTCCCCGTAAATGGAGCATTGGTCCGACTCTGCCAAGAAGGGCCAGCCCTGAGAAGGGACCCTGTCCAGATATAACACACACACACACCACACAGCCCCATCCCTCTACGGTCCTGATGTCTCTGGTCACCCTCCCTCTTAGCCCTGGGCTCCCTGGCTACCTGACCTTGAGCCTTCTCTCTTTCTCAGCCCCAATGATAAACCTGGCCCCATCTCCTGTTTCTGCACTTAAGAGAGTGAGTCCTGGAGTCGGCCGCAGAGTTGGTGACGGCCCAAACAAGGCCACAGGTCCGCCCCACACCCAGTGCTATGGCCCCTTCGGTCTCCAGACCTACCCAGCCTGAGCCCCTCGGCTCCTGCCTCTTGCTCCACCTCTCTGGTGGTCTCTCTTACTGTTAATTTCACAGCTGCCAGTGCCCCTGGCCTTGGGCTCGCAGTGGGAGCCAGGGGGGCAACTGAAGGGCTGGCAGTGGACGGTCCCCAAGGTGCAGACACAGCTCCTGGTGCAGCGAATGGAGATCCAGGTCTTACCCTCCTAGAGAAGGCATGGGGAGAATCAGGGAGTGAGGAGGGAAGGGCCAGTTCCCCTTCTTCCCGCCTGGTCAGCCGAGGCCCACGGTCTGAATGGCTTCGCTGGCCCAGGCTGGAGGCAGTCACAGGCCACCTGCACCCTGATGTCCCTGTACACCTCTTAGAGGCATCACGTTTGGTGTCTTACATATGTTGTTCAGGTCAGGAAAGTACCCAACTCACAGATGACAAAACTGAGGTAACACCCTCATGGGTGGTACCCACGGGATTTGAACCAAGGCCCCCGCTCCTTGTGCTATACCAGACCCCATCCCAGTTGTTTGGATTCATTGGATCCCAAACCACCATGCACCCCTCAGCCCAGCCTGGCCGGACAGCACACTGCCCGGTCACCAGCCTGCATCCCCCGGGGCCAGCCACAGAGACATGTGTGCCCAGGCTGACAGAAGAATAGGAAAGCAGAAAACACCAACCTCGAGGTGTCCCCACCCCTACTTCCCATCCCCACTCACGGGGAAGGAGCTGCCATAGTCGTTGATGCAACCACATTGACTCCTGGTCACACACCGCTGCCCACTGAGCACATAGCCGGGCAGACAAAGGCAGCCCTCCTTGCAGGTGGAGGGGACTTTGGGGCCACTGCACTGGCCCATCAGGTCCAAGCAGGAAGGTGAGCAGGAGGGAAGGCAGGTGGAGTAGCGGCTGTGGGCAGGACATTCCAGAGCTGGGGGAGAGGGGGGGTAAACATTTACTGAGAGCGGGCTCCGTGCCAGGCCCCAGGGAAAGAAAGGAGTAAGAACGGCCCTCCCAGTGCAGTGTGGGAGACGGAGGTCAGCCAGCAGCCACGGTGACACAGATGCGTATGGTCAGTGAGCGTGGGACAGGCGTGTGTGTGTAACAGGTGCACAGAGCACAGCAGCTTCACTCTGTTGGAGAGTTCCACAGAACCCTTTCCGGGAAGTACCTGTGATCACATGGAAATGTGGACAGAGAGCGAGAGTCTGCAACATAATAGAGAAGTCGGTCGTCCCTAAGTGAACGGATATGATGCAGGTGATCCCAGTACAATAAACCAGCAGGATTTTGTTCGGGTTTTTAGTAGGGCGAAAAGATATTAAAGTGGAGAGGAAGATAGGAACAAACCAGAAAAGCCAGGAAAACGTTAAAACAACAACGACAAAACTAGAAAGGAAAGACAAGAAAAGAGCAGTGAGGAGTGATGTCCCTATCAGAATTGAAAACACAGTTGAAACTCTCAACAGTCACAATACTGGGTTACTGGTAAGTGGAGACAGACGGAGCAATGGAAGGGGGAGGAAGCCCAGACAGGAACCCAAATACGGAGGGGAACTTAGTATATAATAAATCATGTCATCTTGGTCAGTGGGAGAAGAGACTGGCGATTTAAGAATGCTGGAGAGGGGGGCGCCTGGGTGGCTCAGTGGGTTAAAGCCTCTGCTTTCGGCTCGGGTCATGATCTCAGGGTCCTGGGATCGAGCCCCACGTCGGGCTCTCTGCTCAGCAGGGAGCCTGCTTCCTCCTCTCTCTCTCTGCCTGCTTCTCTGACTGCTTGTGATCTCTGTCTGTCAAATAAATAAATAAAATCTTTAAAAAAAAAAAAAGAATGCTGGAGAGGGGGGCGCCTGGGTGGCTCAGTCGTTAAGCCTCTGCCTTCGGCTCAGGTCATGATCTCAGGGTTCTGGGATGGAGCCCCGCATTGGGGTCCCTGCCTGACAGGAGGCCTGCTTCTCCCTCTCCCACTCCCCCTACTTGTATCCCCTCTCTCGCTGTGTCTCTCTCTGTCAAATAAATAAATAAAGTGTTCAAAAAAGTGAGGGTCCAGTTAGCTCAGTCCATTAAGCCTCTGACTCCTGATCTTGGCTGGGATTGTGATCTCAGGGTCGTGGGCTGGGAGGGGGTGCGGTGCTATGCACTCAGCGGGGAGTCCGCTTCTCCCTCTCCTCTGCTCCTCCCCCATCTCTAAAATAAATAAAATCTTTTTTTTTTTTTTTAAGATTTTATTTATTTGTCAGAGAGAGAGCACACAAGCAGGAAGACTGGCAGGCAGAGGCAGAGAGAAAAGCAGGTTCCCTGCTGGACAAAGAGCCCAGTGCGGGACTCGATCCCAGGACCCTGGGATCATGACCTGAGCCAAAGGCAGCAGCTTTAACTGACTGAGCCACCCAGGTGTCCCAATAAATAAAATCTTTAAAAGAAAAACAAACAAACAAACAAAAAAACCCAAAGGTAATTTGTATCTTATATTGTGCACCAGGATAAAAATCCCTGTGGATAAAACATTTATTAAAAAAGAAACCAGGGGCGCCTGGGTGGCTCAGTGGGTTAAAGCCTCTGCCTTCGGCTCAGGTCATGATCCCAGGGTCCTGGGATCCAGCCCCACATCGGGCTCTCTGCTCGGCGGGGAGCCTGCTTCCCCCTCTCTCTCTGCCTGCCTCTCTGCCTACTTGTGATCTCCGTCTGTCAAATAAATAAATAAAATCTTTAAAAAAAAAAAAAAAAGAAAAAAAGAAACTATAAGGGTAGGGGTGCTTGGCTGGCTCAGTTGGTAGCCCCACATTGGGTGTAGAGCTTACTTAGAAAGAGAGAGAAAGAAAGGGAGAGGAAGGAAGGAAGGAAGACAGACCATGTTTTGCTGGAGCAAAACATGAGCAAATTCTCTAACTTTGAAATGTGTATTTGGGGCACCTGGGTGGCTCAGTTGGTTAAGCGACTGCCTTCAGCTCAGGTCATGATCCTGGAGTCTCGGGATCGAGTCCCGCATCAGGCTCCCAGCTCCACGGGGAGTCTGCTTCTCCCTCTGACCTTCTCCTCGCTCATGCTCTCTCTCACTGGCCCTTCTTTTCTCCAAAAAAAAAAAAAAATGTTTAAAAAAAAAAAAGAAAAGAAATGTGTATTTGTCACTATGGCTCGAAATGCAGAAGCCACAGAACAAAGACTAACATATGCTATCCCACATACACATACATATATACATGACAAAAAAAGTCAAAGATGAAAAAATGAGAACTGGAAAGATGTGTGTAGCTCATAACACTAATAGAGGGTTACTCTCGGGGCACCTGGTGGCTCAGTCGGTTAAGCATCCCGCTCTGGATCTCAGCTCAGGTCTTGACCTCATAGTCATGAGTTCAAGTCCCACGGTAGTGAGGCCAAATTAATAATTTAACCAATTAAAAATTAGTTAATTAATTAAGTTATAAATAAAGAGGGGCACCTGGGTGGCTCAGTCAGTTAAGCATCTACTTCGGCTGGGGTCATGATCCCAGGGTCCTGGGATCGAGCCCCACATCAGACTCCCTGCTCACCAGGAAGCCTGCTTCTCCCTCTCCCGTTTCCCTTCCCCACCCCTTCTCTTGGGCGTTCTGTCTCTCTCAAATAAATAAATAAAATCTTAAAAAAAAAAAAAGTTCCTGGAGCGCCTGGGTGGCTCAGTGGGTTAAAGCCTCTGCCTTCGGCTCGGGTCGTGATCCCAGGGTCCTGGGATCAAGCCCCCGCATCGGGCTCTCTGCTCAGCAGGGAGCCTGCTTCCCTTCCTCTCTCTCTGCCTGCCTCTCTGCCTACCTGTGATCTCTGTCTGTCAAATAAATAAATAAATAAATAAAATCTTTAAAAAAAAAAAGTTCCTGAACCTTGTGAATGTATCACATGCTAAAAACACGTTAATGGGGCACCTGGGTGGGTCAGTGGGGTAAGCCACTGCCTTTGGCTCAGGTCATGATCTCAGGGCCCTGGGATCGAGCCCTGCATCGGGCTCTCTGTTCGGCAGGGAGCCTGCTTCCTCCTCTCTCTCTCTCTATCTCTCTCTCTGAGCAGGGAGCCTGACTTGGGGCTCCATCCCAGGAGCTATATTGAGGGGTTGCCTGCGTGGCTCAGTGGGTTAAGCCTCTGCCTTTGGCTCAGGTCATTATCCCAGGGTCCTGGGATCAAGAGCAGAGAGCCCGATGCGGGTCCTGGGATCAAGCCCGGAATCGGGCTCTCTGCTCAGCAGGGAGCCTGCTTCTCCCCCTTCTCTCTGCCTGCCTCTGCCTACTTGTGATCTCTCTGTCAAATAAAGAAATAAAATCTTTAAAATAAAAACACGTTGACCACTGTCTTAAAGTTTAAAAGGTTCTGGAATTACATAATGTGATCTTTGCAGAACCTTGTAAAGATCCTACAAAAACAGTAAACTGTATATACTTTTAAATTGGTGAATATCATGGTATATGAATTCTAACTTGAAAAAGAATTTTTAAGAGCTACAGAAGAATGCGCAGGAGTCTGCCAGGTGACAAGAAGAAAGAACTTTCCAGGCACAGGGAGCAGTGTGGATAGAGGCAGGGAAGGGTGAGGAAAAGCAAGCCCTGTACGGTGGTGGGGGAACGGGGTGGTCTGGTGCAGGGGGTGGGCAGGCTCACAGCGAAAGGGGCGAGAGAGGACAAGCCAGGACAGACGGCAGGGTCTCAGATATCTCCGAAAGGAGCTTGGATTTAACCTTGGAGACAGGAGCCATGCAGGGGAGCAACTGTCACATCTCCTTTGGAAAAAAACAGGTGATGAGAAGTTGCCTGTGCTGTCCCGGTGGTAGGGGTGCCGGCTGCGAGGGAATTGTGAATGAACTACATCGGAACGAGGTTAGGCCCAGGTCAGGAACAAGGGGAAAGGAGGACAGGCACTTTAAGGGGTACAGAGACAGAAACGAGGTGTGGGAGGGTCTGCAGTGACCGTAGGGGACACTCACGGCAGAAGCTGCTGTTTCTCCAGATCGGGGGGTTGAGGCCCTGGGCCCGGCAGGCGGCCCCAAAGGTTTCCAAAGATTCACAGAGGGCGCGGCTCAGCCTTCCAACCTGACAGAGGCTGTTGGTACAGTTGAGCAGGAAGGGCCTGAGGACAACGTGGCTGGCACACTTCGCCCAGGCTGGAGCCTGCAAGGCCGTCTGGCACTGCTCCTGGGCTCTGACTAGGTCAGCCATCCTGCAGTTTGTATCTGACTTTTCCTTCAACTCTGCTTGGACCGTCTGGTCATCTGGTTGGCATCTGCAGAGGAGAAAGAGATCATCAGAGGGACAGCCACTGCCCCCACCTGTGAAAATGACTTGGCATTCCCCAGTAACTTGGAGGACCCCCTTGTCTTCACCAGGAAGCTGGAATGAGCTCTGGCCACGTCCCCTGCAGCCTCCGTCCCCTCCCGCATTTTGAAACCCAAAAACAGGGAAGACTTTCATGTCTCCCCTGAGAGGTTCCCAGGACCCAGAAGCCATCCTCTGTCAAGGTACAGACAGACAGGAAGGCTCCGGTCCTCCTAGCCCCTGCCAGATAGTCTGGGATCCCAGCTTGCATTCCTGCGAAGGTGGAAAGGCTTTGGGGACAATTACTTGGGGTCAGACTCCCTATCTTGCCAACTGTCCACCAGTTCAGTGTCATTCTGGGCTAGTTCATCACTGGGCATCATGAGCTCATCTTCGTCCTCGTCATTGAAGTTCCCGCACAAGCCACAGACCTGGGTGGGGGGGCAAAGGGGTTCTCAGTGGCCGGCCAGGGGCAAGCAGAAGAGCCTTTCTCATGGGCGCCTGCATTTCCACTCCTAAGAAAAAGGCGCCCTCCCTGCCCTCCTCCTTTCTGGGGAATGACCACTTGGGTCTGTAGAGGGCTCAGCGCCCTCTGGAGGTGGGCTCCCCGGGAGAAGAGCTAGGGGTTGCCCCCACCTTTTGGTAGTAGGCTGTAGGGAGCTGGACCTCTAAGAAGCCCTTGCCATCAAACTTGACCTGCAGCCCGATGTTGACACTGAGGATGGTGTAGATGCCACTGGCATTGATTCTGACCCCCCGAATCTGGTGGGTTGAGGGAAGGGTGGCCTGTGTACCGTTGATCTAGAGAAGCAGGCAGGGCAGGTGAATGGGAAGAAAGACAGATGTCGCGGCTGGCGTTCTCCCTCTCCCACCCACGCCGCTGCCCGTCTCACCAGCACGCGGTGGCCCTCTCCCAAGGTGACCCGGGTGTCAGAGATGTCAATATGGAGCCTGTAGAGGTAGAAAGCAGCCGAGCGGCCTCTCCGCTTCCCGTGCTTGCCGCTGATCTTGAAGAAAGGTAGGTCCACGGTGGAGTGGCACACTTTCAGCAGGACGTAAGTGCAGGTGTTTTGGATGGTATGGAGAATGCCATCGAACGTCACGTACGGGGAGCGGTCCGAGGTGCGACACACTCCCATGCCTGGCGAAGGGGGAGGGCTGAGGAGCGGTCCAGCCTCCACGAGGAGGAGGCTTGGTGGCCGGGGCGGGGGGCAGGGGTTGTTGTCCCGTCAAAGCTCGTGGCTGAGAGAACCACGAGGGAACCCGAGGAGCCCTTCCTGATGGCACAGGGGTCAGCATCCCCCGCCCCAGCCCCCCCACAAAAGGTCTTCAGAAAGGCAGGGAGGGGAGCAGGGTGCTACGGGTGGGTGGTGGGAGAGGGGGATGGGGAACCCAGGAGAGCAGGCGCCTGGGACTTCACAGGTGGCCCCCCGCTGCACTCCAGGGTCTCCTACCTGAGCTTCGGCAGCGCAGCAGGCCGTCCAGGGGCCGGCACAGCTGGCCTGGCTTACAGGTGCTCTGGCGGCAGGAGATGCTGCTGTGCGTGGAACAGGTGCAGAGCCTGGAACATGTGTTGTCTGTGTACCAGCTCTCCCCGACCTGTGGGACGTGGGCATCAGCAGAGCCAATGGAAGCCTAGAAGCCGGCGTCGGACTGAACTCCCCCACCCACCCACCAGCATCCCCCGCCCCCAGGGCTTGCTGCCCTCCACTGCTTCTCTCCATCCCTAGCCTTCCTCAACCTTTTTGGCTTCCGGACTTGCTGCTCAGCCCCCTAGACTGCTCCCCACCACCACCACTACCCCTGCACAGGCTCTGAGCCCTCCTGCCCCCCAAATGTGGGACGTCGTGGTCTAGCCCCTCACCGGATGGTAGGAACCGTCCTGGTGCACGCAGCCACACTGGCTGAAGGGCACACAGGAGGTTCCGCTCAGGACGTGGCCTTGCTGGCACTCACAGCCCTCCGTGCAGGGCAGTTCCACGGGGCAGTCTCTTGGGGTGTTCCGGCTGAGACAGGTGGCCGGGCAGGGGTTGGCACAGGGGTGGTAGCTACTGCCAGGGGGACACTTCAGAGCTAAGAGAAAACCAGAAAGAAAGCAGAAGAAAGCCCTGTGAGGAAGGGCAGTGATTTCCAGCTGCCTGACCTCGGGGCTGAGAGTGCCCGAGAATGTTCCTCAGACCAATGGATACACACAGCGAGGTCTATGCATAGGGTGGGATATTTTTCAGCCTTAAAAAAGACACTCATGGGGGCGCCTGGGTGGCTCAGTCGGTTAAACCACTGCCTTCGGCTCAGGTCGTGATCCTGGAGTCCTGGGATCAAGTCCCACACTGGGCTCCCTGCTCAGGAGGGAGTCTGCTTCTCCCGCTGACCTCGCTCCTCTCATGTTCTCTCTCTCTCATTCTCTCTCTCAAATAAATAAATAAATAAAAACCTTAAAGAAAAAAAAAAGGCACTCTGGCCCACGCTCCGACGCGGATGAACTTTGAAGACATGCCAGGTGAAATCAGCTGCTCACCGAAAGAGAAATACTGTGTGATTTCACTTATATGAGGTCCCCGGAGTTGTCAAAGTCACGGACACACAGCAGAACAGTGGCTGCCCGGGGCCGGGGCGGGGAGAAGATGGGGTCTGTGTTTCATGGGTGCAGAGTTTCAGTTCGGGAAGATGACAAAGTTCTGAAAACCGAGAGTGGTCACGGGGGCACAGCCCTGTGAATGTACTGGAGACCGCAGAACTGGGTATTAAAAATCATTAGGGGCGCCTGGGTGGCTCAGTGGGTTGAGCCTCTGCCTTCATCTCAGGTCATGATCCAGGGGTCCTGGGATCGAGCCCTGCATCAGGCTCTCTGCTCAGCGGGAAGCCTGCTTCCCCCTCTCTCTACCTGCCTCTCCGCCTACTTGAGATCTCTGTCAAATAAATAAATAAAATCTTTTTAAAAAATCATTAAAATGGGAAGTTTTATGTTATGCATATTTTACCACAATTTAAAAAGAAAGAAAAGTTTCTGGAAAAGAGAGTAAGGAAGAAAGGGAACGGGGCTGGCCCAGGTCAGACAGGAAAGACACAGAAGCAAATGAGGGTGGTGTGGGGTGAGGAGGGAGTCAGATAGAGGAGGCTCCCAGGGTAGGCAGACAAGCTGAGAAGGGCGGTTTGGCTTGGAGAGACTGGAAAGAGGGCAAGGGAGGAGGGTTCCCTGTCGGGCTGAGGGCCAGGCTGTGAAGGGAGAGCAGAGATGCAGACGTGAAGGAGAGGAAGAGAGAAAGGGATCTGGAGGCTTCGGGAGCAGGTGGTTGGGTCACTCACGGCAGAAGGTGCTGTTTCGCCAGGTGAGGGCCTGGCCGGCATGTGAGCATAGGGATGCGTAGGCCTGCAGGGACCGGCACAGGGCCAGGGAGTCACCTTTGGTCCCACACTGGCCATACACACAGCTGGCGAAGCTGGACTGGGGGGGCACCACCCCATGGCACTGGGAGAAGGGTCCTGGAGAATGAAACAACGGACCGAGGGTCGGCTTGGAAGGGAAAAGAACCACGTCACCACTTTGGGGTGAATTCCACACCCATTTCAAGGAAAACCCAGTAATTATTGGGGTGCTTGGGGGGCTCAGTCAGTTAAGCACCCAACTATTGGTTTTGGCTGAGACCAGGGTTGTGAGATCGAGCCCCGCGTCAGGCTCTGTGCTCAACGTGGAGGCTCCATGAGATTCTTTCCCCTCCATCTCCCATGCCTCTGCTCTGCCCCATGCTCACACTCTCTCTCTCAAAATAAATAGATAAAAAATTTAAAAACCCATAATTATTAAGAACTTACCATCTGAAATGCAAAAAAAAAAAAAAAAAAAAAAAGACTGATCCATCAGCGCTCCTGAGAACATCACCTCTGCTTTCCCTTTGCTTGCCTTCTTCCTGGCTTTCCCTCCCTTTCGTGTCTCATCCTTCCTCCCTTCCTGACCAGTCCCCCTCCTCGACCTCCCGCTAGGGGAGCAAAGAGTGGCCTAGCAAGGGATGCTTACCCAGAGGGTTCGTTAAGATATCACAATTCTTTTTCCAAATGTTTGCTTCTTTGTCCCCCAGGCATCTGGAAGGCTTGGCCCCCTCAACAAAGCAGCTAAACGAGGAGAGGGGAAGGGACAGGAATTTGGAATTGGAGGACACTTCCCAAACGCTGACGCAGAAGTGGAGGGGGAAAACAGGAGGGGGATAAGGACAGGGGAAGTAGGAAGTAGGAAGTAGGAAGGTCAAGTAGGAAGGTCAGAAGATGCAGCAGGAAGGAACCAGGTTAGCTCTCAGGATGGACTTCCCAAGAGGGCTCTCTTTGGAGATCAGTACACACAGGAGCAAACGGGAGCAAGGGAGGTCCATTCCAGGCTCAGAGAGATCAGAGATGCACAGAGAATCTCCCCCCAGGCTGCCCACTGAGGGCTCTCCCCAGGTCCAGCTCCCCGCATTCCTGGCTCACCCCGGTTCAGAGTACTCTGGTAACTTCCAGGCGACCCCCAGATGGTCAGAGCTGGCCACAAGCGTTTTGTTGGGGAGCAGACTGTCATCCAGGCTATTATTGTTGTAGTTGCCTGGAGGAGGGGCCAGTGAGAGGTCCATGAGGCACCCCACCAGCAGACCCAACCCGAGACCACTCCCCTGCCTCCCGGAAGAGTCTACGTCAACTCTTCCTCCGACAGACCAAGGTTCATCTCTTCTTCACCTAATTTAATGTAGAGATGAGCAGGACCGAGACAGACTCCTGCCCACTGTCCCTGCTTTGCCTGCAGGTGCCCGGGGAACTCACCACACAACCCACAGAGGCGGCCGGAGTAGGAGGACGGCACTGTCACTTCGACCAGGTGGCTCCCATCATAGCGAACTTGAAGCCCAAAGTCCGTGTAGAGGAGGATAAAGGAGCCACTGGGCCTTATGCTCACCCGGCCTTGAGCAGGCCACAGAGGTAGGGCCATCCGGCGACCATTCAGCTACAGAGTCAGGGAGGACGGTGGGGAAAGGCGCTTGGGACAAGGACAACGGGGGCCAGGACCAGGGATCAGACAGGGATGGTCACGCATCTCTGAAATTGGGGTTGCATCTGCTGGGAGCTACCCCTAGGGGATCTAGAAGCCGGACCCGCTCCCGCAAGGACAGGCGGAGAAGAACCGCGGAACCCACTGGGGATGTGGGGCCCGGGGAGGTGGGCGGAGGCACGCACCACGACCTTGTGGCCTTTGATCAGTGAGATTCTCAGGTTGAACACCTGCACGTGGACGGCTCTGACGTAGGAGGCCTCCAGGTTCCCACCGCGAAACTCATTGGTGGCGCTCACGACGAAGTGGCTCTCTAGCGACCTCGACTGGCAAAGTTGGGTCAGGACATAGGTGCAGGTGCCCGTGAGGTGGGTCAGGGCTCCGTCAAAGGTCAGGTAGTGGGGGTCCCCCGAGACACTGCAGGTGGCGGCCCCTGAGGTGGAGGAGATGGAATTCGCAGACCCTCGAGCCCTGAGCTGCCATCCCGGCCAGTCCACGTTGGAATGGAATGGGACCCGTAGCTCCTCCGTGTGGTCGGCTTGGTCTGGAAAGGCCAAGTGCGGGGACTGCCCAGACCTCACCAGCTCTGTGAAGAGGCTGCTCTGGCTTGGGCCAATGCCTTTCAGCGCTCCGCCCCCCGGTTCAGGCCCCAGCTCTCTGGGGTGCCCGCTTTAGGGTAGAGCCGTGCCCCTGCTTGAGGCCACGTGGAGAGTCTCCCCCCCCACCCCCGCTCTCCCCACCATCACCTTCCACCTGGCAGCTCACCGCGGGCATGACAGCCATAGATGCCATCCTGCTGACGACAGACCTCTTGGGCCTGGCACCTCCACTGTGCACAGCGAACCCTATTGTTGCTCTCACAGGCACAGTGCTGCTGGCAGCCGGGCTTGAACCACTGCTCCCCTATCTGGGGGAAGGAAGGGAGGGAGGGAGGGAGGGAAGGAACGGAGGGAAAGAGATCATTTCCAGGTCTGACTACTGGCCCCCGGCAACTCAGATCCCTAGCTTCCTCACCAGGGAGCCATTCCCATCATCCCGAAGCTCCAGGCTTAGCTGCAAAGTCTGGCCTTTGCCCATGTCTTCAGTCATTTACTTGTTTGCTCCTTTGCTATCTCAACAGATGGTTCTCTCTCTGCACTAGATAGATGTTAGGGATTCAGGAGTGAACTGGATGAATGATGTCCCTGCCCCCAATAGTTCACAACCCAGACCGGTGTGTGTGTGGCAGGGAGGGGAGGCAGTCAACAAGTAAATTAATAAATCAGGTGCCCCACATGATATGCACCCGGAGAAGACAACAGGGGACCCGATGAGAGTTTCCTGCCATTGACACAGAAAATAAGCACTTGCTACAGAAGTGTAGAGGGAAGCCTTCTGACTTTGCTTATCAGGGGGGGCTTCAAGGAGGAGGTGGCATTTGAACACAGCCTCCGAGCAGGAAGGACTCCCAACAGGCATGGTGGCTGGGAGGCAGAGCAGAGACAAAGGGGTTGCAGAGCAGGTGAAATTGACATGAGAGCAAGGCTCGGAGAGAGGGTTCAGAGGGCCAGCCCGGAGCGGGGCTGAGGGCTGTGACAGACGCCATTCCCAGGGACAAGGTGAGGGACAGGCAAAGAAGGAAGAGAGAAGCACGGCAGACGAGGGTCTGGCTCTAAATGCTGCCTCTAAGGGAGCGTGCGGACAGGGGCCCAGGTCGGCGCCAAAGTCCTTCTGCAGAGAAAGGTGTCCGTGGTGCGGAAGAACATGGTGTTTGGAAAGATGTTTGTGTTTGTGCAGATGACACAGAAGGGCCTAGGCCCTCAGAGGATGAGAAACTCTGGGAAAATGACTCCAGGGCATGGAGAGGAGAGAGCCAGGGGTCTCAGTTCTGCCGGCAGGCAGCGTGGGGAAAAGTTGCTAGGGCTCCATCGCAGAGCTGGAGAAAGAAATGGGGAAGCAGATCTGGCCCTGAACGTCCCTCCCCCAAGCTGTCTACACTGAGTGGCTTTCCGGCCTTCTGTCCCGCACACAGGCTCGCCCAGACTCCAGAACGGGAGGCGGCACAGCGGAGTGACCCAGTGCCAGAGGCTCACCTTGAAGTAGCCCACCGTGGGCTCGAGACACCCGCACTGGGACTGGGGGATGCACTGGAGACCACTGAGCACGAAGCCCGGGTTGCACTCGCAGCCCTCCACGCAGCGGTTCTTACAGGACATGCCCAAGAAGCTGGGAAAGCAGGTGGCGGGGCACCGCTGGGCGCACAGACGGTACCTGCTGTTGGGTGGGCAGGTCAGAGCTGGGGGAGGGAGAAGCAGACATGAGAAGAGCCGAGGGCAGGACAGAGACAAGGAAACGAAGTCTGTTGGGAGGCCACCATTCGGAGGGCCCCCTGCTAGAGGCTTTTGCCCTATCCCAAGAAGCAGGACCAAGGAGAGTGGCCTGCAGGGAGCGACCAAGAGGCAGGCCACAGGATGCAGACAGATCTGAGCATCTCAGCTGCTGTATAGACAAGTCCACAGTAGCAATCAGGGTGATGGAGAGCAGGGGGAGAACACCCACAGGGCCTCGATCAAGGGCATGGCTTTGCCCTACAGCCAGCTCCGCGAGGCCGTGAGGGGGCCGTGAGGCAGTCACAGGGCTCCCACTCATGCCGGGAATCTGCGTGTTCTGTGTGCAGAGGATAACCTGGGCACACATCTACACAGACGTGCGTTGCTCCGTATAGCCTCGAGAGGCTGGGAGGGCTCCGAGTTTGCCAGGGAGTGTGGTTTTTCTCAGTGCATGTTTCTGACCGCAGCTTTCCCTGCGTGCACGTGGAAGCAAAAGGGTTCCACCAGGGGTTCCCCTCAGCCTGTGAAGGAAGGGCCCCCACCGCTCCGCACAACTCACGGCAGAACTGGGGTCGCCTCCAAGGCTTCACCATATAGCCAGCATCCTGGCAGATCTCGGTCAAGGCTGCCATGTGGGTACACAGCCCTGATTCCAGCTGCTGGAATTTGCACATGTCAGACACGCAGTTCTTGAAGAACAGAGAGGCCTTGAGGTGAGGCAGACACGCCCTTGAGGAGAGAGGCCAGGTCAGAGGGAACGACCCCGGGTGCCAAGTGACCCCCTCTCACAGCCCTACCGTCCGTCCCCCTCCATACTCGAAGGTTCCGCGGGCATCCATGAGCCGTCCACAGAACTGTAATGCCGACAGACTGTTCAGAAAGCGCTGGTTGCAAGACGGAGGATTTGCCGGGTTCTTCTGGCACCTAGAAGGGACCCACCCCACGTGCCCTCAAGGCTCGCCTCCATCCCGCCCGGGGCCCCAACCCCAGCCGTATCGCGGCTCACAGCAGCCCCTAGCGGACGGCATCGGAACCCTGAGCCCGAAAGGAGGCTGAGGCTGAGCCAGCCTGGGAGGCTGCCCAGCGTCACCTGAGCACAGCAGAGGTGGGGGCGAGTGTGGTGGTGAGAAGCTCGTGAACTTGGCCGGAATGGGAGCAGGGAGAAGAATGACAGACGCGGGGGGCATTCAGGAGAGGAGAAAGAAGAAAAGGGGTGATACGGGTCGGGGTGGGTGCTTCTCAGAAGGGCAAAGGAGCAGGAGGGCAGACAGTGGGGGTGGGGGTGGGGATGTCCTCACTCCTCGTCCTTGTCCTCTGTCTGCCAGCTGTTGCCCAGCTCCTCCATGTCCTGAGCCGGGCTGCCATCTGGCTTCCGGTTGTCATTGCTACTGTCCCCATCGTAGTTGCCGCAGAAGCCACAGAGTTTCCTCGAGTAGGTGCTAGGGTCATGGGGAGAGGAGGCGGCGATGACGGAGAGAAGGGGCTCCAGTCGCCCAAGGGACCAGGGCAGAGAAGGGCAGAGCAGAGGCTTAACAGGTGCAGGCTGCGAGCCAGGGTGCGAGCCAGCTGCCAAGTGCACAAGGACCTCCCGCCCCTCAGCCCCTCACCCTGGAGCCATCCTTACTGCCCGCCTGGTCCCCTTCCGCTCACATCCCATCTTCCCACATTCCCGTTTTTTTTCCCTAGCGTTTGCCATTCACCAACTACAAAGGCATTCTTTCCCTTGTTGGTTCCTCTGGTGAACCACTCTCTCTTGAAGACTGGGCTCGAGAGACCACTCTTCCGAAAGGGGCGACTCCTTCTAGCACATTCCCAAAGCATTGTATGTATAACCTGCTATTATCACACTGTCTCCTCATCCTAAGGGAGGCCCGTCAGGTGAGGTGTTTCCTACCCTCCCCCATTAAGAGCTAGTGCCTGGAAGGGAAGGGGAGGCGGGTGGGGCGGGGAGGTCCTGGGAGAGGGAGGGAGAGCAGAGCAGGGAGAAGTGGCAGCAGCCTGTGCACCCCTCACCTGGGCACACTCAAATACAGCTGCTGGTCACCATCCCATCTCACCCGCAAACCAAACACCGTCTGCAGCTCCACAAATCGCCCACTTAAAGACAAGAAGACGCCTTTGGAAGGTATGGCGGGGAGGGTGACTTGCCGACTCCCAACCTGGAAGGTGGGTCAAGGGAAGAGACACACACACAGATGGGGGCGGTCAAGGAGAAACCCCCGCAGACACCCGCATCCACGCTGGAAGGCACGACAGCCCTCCCTGGTAATCCTTGGTAACACAAGGAATGCTCTGGAGGCTGTCTGTCCCGGAGGTCAGAGGCTGCCGGTCTGGAGGCACCGGCAGGCCTGAAGGGGAAAAAAAGGACACTCACCAGCACGCGCCTGCCCCCAAGCAGCGTGATGGTGACCTTGGGCAGCGTCACGTAGATTTTGCTCAGGATGGACATGCTTTCTTGTCCTCGACCCTCATTCTTCGCCACCACCCTGAAGAACGGCTCTGGGTGGGCAGCGGGATGGAGAGCACCCAGGGGTTCATTCAGCAAGCCTGCCTGCCTGCCTACCTTCCTTCCTTCCTCCCTCCCTCCCTTCCTTTCTTAAGGTTTTATTTATCCATTTCAGAGAGAGAGAGCTTGCGTTGTGCCAGCACTAGTGGCGGGGGGCAGGGGGCAGGTGGGCAGAGGGAGAGGGAGAAGCAGACCCCCTGCTGAGCAGGGAGCCCGATGTAGGACTTGATTCCAGAACCCTGGGATCATGACCCGAGCTGAAGGCAGACGCTTAACAACAGAGCCACTCAGACGTCCCTCAACAAGCATTTCTGAGTGTCCTCTGCACCTGGCACTGCAGGGATGAAGGGGTCCCCCCAGACCCAGCGTCAGCAGTTTGAGAGGGGAGGCGGGACCCAGATGTGACTGTCGACCTGCTTCTAGAATCACCTGTAACTCTCTTGAGACTTTGTCTCCGGTAAGGGACTGGGACACCCTCCAGGGCAAGGATTTTGTAAAGCGTTCTCTCCTCCCTCTATCGCCAATACTTCGGGCAGGCGCTAGCTAAACGCGGGCCCAGGAAACGGCTGGTAAAGAGAAGTGTCTTACCGTGCACTGTCCCCCCCCAGTCTGGTCTTGCGAAGGTCCTGCTTCTGGGGTGGACCTATCAACCCTCACTCTGCAGAAGGTCTTGTTTCCATCTTGTGTCTCCTCGCTCTGCCCCCACCCCCGTCTCTTGCCTGCCACCCACTGTGCTCCCCTGCCCAGCTGTTCTGACCTTATACCCCTGGCCCAGGCACCTCTAGGGCCTTACCTGTCGAGTTGCCGCAGGGTTGGGCCAAGATGTAGGTGCATTTGCCCATGAAACTGAAGTGTCTCCCGTCAAAAGTGATTTGGTGAGGGTCCCCGTACACAGTGCAGGTGGCAGTACCTGCAGAGGGGAGCCAATGGGCAGCACATGAAAGGACGGACTAGGCCCTGAGGCCACACTTGTGCACCCAGTGGCATGCCCCGGTTCCTCTGGCCAAGGGTGGATTGGGACCCTGGTGTCCCACCCAATCTGACAGGTGGGTGGGCGCTAGCGTGAAGGGAGGGTCTCACCATAAGGTTGGCATCCGTACTGGCCATTCTTCAGCTGACACACTGTGTGCGGGCCGCACTGGGAGAAGTTACACTCCATGCGCTTGCCAGGCCTGCAGCGGCAACGTTCTGTGCAGTTGGAGCTGAACCACTCCGCCCCAGGCTGGGAGCAACGGATCCAGAGTCACAACGCCATAGCTCCTGGGGCCCTCCCTCCTTCCCCACCACATCTGCAGACCTAACCTTGCTCATACTCTTCCTCATCCCACCCCCTACCAGATATTCCTGTCTACCACAGGACATTGGCACATGCTACTCTCTCACCCCAGAATGCTCTTCTGATCCTTTCCAGATCATTCTTATGTGACCAGCACACAGAGTTCAGTTCACAGCTTTCTAGGGAAGACTTCTCAGACCCCCCTGACTAGGTCAGCCTCACAGTTCTGGGTACCTTTCTTTCCCAGGACTTACTAGGATTGCACCTTCATGGTAATTTCTGTGACTAATTGCAAGCACTCTGTGAGGGATCATGTCTCTTTATTCACTATCATAGCCTCGACACGTAGCACAATGCTTGGCAGGAGCTCTCATTCTAGAAACACTTGCTGTATCAGAGTGACCCAAGACCCAGCGTGTCCCCCAGGATCTGAGAGCATTAGGAGAACAAGGACCATGCCCTATTTGTGGTGGTTCCAATTCCAGAAGGGTTGAACATACTCAAGAAACATTCATTGGGGGAGCACCTGGGTGGCTCAGTGAGTTAAAGCCTCTGCCTTCAGCTCAGGTCATGATCCCAGGGTCCTGGGATCAAGCCCCGCATTGGGCTCTCTGCTAAGCAGGGAGTCTGCTTCCCTTCCTCTCTCTCTGCCTGCCTCTCACCTACTTGTGATCTCTATCTGTCAAATAAATAAATAAAATCTTTAAAAATAAAAAGAAACATTAATTGGATGCATAAATAAATCTTTATAAGACATGCATAAATGTCTCCTGGGGCAGGCAAGAGATGCTGAATGCTGAGGGTTGTGATAGATCTTTCTGAGGCTGAAGCTTTATCCTAATCGGGACAAAGGGACACCCAGGAAGCTGGTTAAAGGGAGGTGGGGAAAAAAGTAGTCCCCAAAGAGACAAAAAGGAACTCAGATGACAGATGGGAAGAACACCAGTTCTGAGAAGAGCCATGGGGCGGGAGTGAATAGCTTAATACACTTTTAATAACTTACATATGATATTTATCATAATTAGCTAATAATAGTAACATTTAGTAAGTACTAGGTCTGCTTCGGGATCTAATTTCAACTTCACAACAATCTTATGAGGTAAGTAGAAATTATGGGCACATTTTGTAGACACGGAAGAGGGAAAGAATCTTGCCGGAGGTCACCCACCAAGTGAATGCTAGAGCCCATGCTTAAAGGTCCGACTGGCTTGATTCTAGGGTGGCTCCGTCCCATAGAGTGGCCACCAGCCTCTTGTGGCTATCGAGCTCATGAAACGTGGGTCCAAACTGAGATATACCCAAAGTGTAAAAATACACACTAGATTTCAAAGAATTAGTATTGGGGGGGAAGGAATGTAAGCGATCTCATTAATAACTTCATTACATGTTGAAATGAAACTAGAAATTGAGTACATTATTGGAATTCATTTAACCTGTTTCCTTTTACTTTCTTTTTTTTTTAAAGATTTTATTTATTTATTTGACAGAGAGAGATCACAAGTAGACGGAGAGGCAGGCAGAGAGAGAGAGAGAGAGAGAGAGAGGGAAGCAGGCTCCCTGCTGAACAGAGAGCCCGATGCGGGACTCGATCCCAGGACCCTGAGATCATGACCTGAGCTGAAGGCAGCGGCTTAACCCACTGAGCCACCCAGGCGCCCCTCCTTTTCCTTTTTAAAAATGTGGCTGTCAGGGTGCCTGGGTGGCTCAGTGGGTTAAAGCCTCTGCCTTCGGCTCAGGTCATGATCTCGGGGTCCTGGGATCGAGCCCCACATTGGGCTCTCTGCTCAGCATGGAGCCTGCTTCCCCCCGTCTCTCTCTGCCTACTTGTGATCTCTGTCTGTCAAATAAATAAATAAAATCTTTAAAAAAAAAATGTGGCTGTCAGGAAACCTAAAATAATGGGTGAGGCTTGCATGCGATCCCTTTTGGACAACAATAGCCTAAAGCCTGCGCTCCTTTACAGCCTCGGCTTGTGTCGAATCTTCTCGGAGGGGTGGGCAGTGTGGAGGGGCTACCCATCTGGGGAGACAGTAACTCCTGTGTTTTATTCTTTTTCTTTTTTTATTAAAGGATTTTATTTATTTATTTGACAGAGATCGCAAGTAGGCAGAGAGGCAGGCAGGTGGGGGAGGGAAGCAGGCTCCCCGCTGAGCAGAGAGCCTGATGTGGGGCTCGATCCCAGGACCCCGAGATCATGACCTGAGCTGAAGGCAGAGGCTTTAACCCACTGAGCCACCCAGGTGCCCCTGTTTTTTTCTTTTTAAAATAATTTATTTATTTGACAGGTAGAAACACAGTGAGAGAGGGAACACAAGCAGGGGGAATGAGAGAGGGAGAAGCAGGCTTCCCGCTGAGCAGGGAGCCCGATAAGGGTCTCAATCCCAGGACACTGGGATCATGACCTGAGCCGAAGGCAGATGCTTAATGACTGAGCTACCCAGGCGCTCCAACTCCTGTGTTTTGACAGGATTTGCAAGTCCCATTGGAAGAAAATTCTGGAACGCTGTGTTCTGCCCTGAACATGCCCGAAGCTCTACTCAGCATCCAGGGCTCTCTGCATATGCCGGGACCCCCAGCTTCCCTCAAGGAGGAGATGAGGAAGGCCTTGGACCACCTGGCTGGCCCAGTGGGTACTAGCTGGGCCAAAGTGGGTACGTAGCCGATATTTACCGCACAAACAGAGAGGAGGATGAAAAGCCACATTTGGAAAGAATCATTCCACCATTGTGTAATTCTACCAGCTTGTGAGCTGGCCCCTTGGGACAGTCCCATGGATCCAAGAAACCATGTACATCTCCCCTTGGGAGCAGATGGAACTAGAACCCACTTGCCATCTCCCTTAGGGGCTCTGGCATCCCAGTGGTCTTACCTTATAGTAATTGTTGTTGTAGAAGCAATTGCAGGAAGAGGCGTTGATGCAGCGGGACTCATGAAACAAGAAGCCAGAACTGCAGACACAGCCGGGTTTGCAAAGGGGCCCACAGTTGGGCTTGGGTCTCTCGCAGGATGCTGGGCAGGCGCAGGGCTCGTAGTGGGCATTTGGCGGACACCTTGCTATGGGGAGAACAGCCTGCGTCAGTCTTTCACTCTACTGCTTTTCTCAAGGCGATGTCCTGTCTCCTCTCTTCCCACCCTCGAGTTCTCTAAGACAGAGGTCCCTATAATTCAGCCATAAAAAGGAGGGAAGATCTGACATGTGGATAACTTGACATTCTAGCGCACAGATGAACCTTTAAAATACGGTGTCGAGTGCAAGGAGCTAGTCACAAAGGACCACGTATTACATCATTCTATGTGGGTGTCCAAAACAGGGAAATTGACAGAGACCGAACGTAGGTTAGGGGTTGCCAGGAGATGGGGCACGGTGGGGGTTGGGGAGAACGTGGAGTGAGCGCTAACGGGTAGGGGGTTTCTTTGGGGCTGATAAAAATGTTCTGGATGTAAGGGGGCCTGGGTGGCTCAGTGGGTTAAGCCTCTGCCTTTGGCTCTGGTCATGATCTCAGGGTCCTGGGATGGAGGACCTCCATCCCGGGCTCTCTGTTCAGCAGGGAGCCTGCTCCCCCCCCCCACCTCTCTCTGCCTGCCTCTCCGCCTACTTGTGATCTCTCTCTGTCAAATAAATAAATAAAATCTTAAAAAAATATATTTAAAAAAATGTTCTGGATTTAGAAACTGATGTTTGCACAATCTTGTGGATATACTGAAACCACTCAATTGGGGGCGCCTGGGTGGCTCAGTGGGTTAAAGCCTCTGCCTTCGGCTCCGGTCATGATCCCAGGGTCCTGGGATCGAGCCCCACATCGGGCTTTCTGCTCTGCGGGGAGCCTGCTTCCTCCTCTCTCTCTGCCTGCCTCTCTGCTACTTGTGATCTCTGTCAAATAAATAAATAAAATCTTAAAAAAAAAACCCACTCAATTGTACACTTTAGAAGAATGAACTATATGGTAGATGAATTATATCCTTATTTAAAAAAAAAAATGTTGTAAGCCTAGTGTTTGGCTCCCAATGACCTCCACCGCCACCATGTCCTGCTTCCCTCTTGGTCACGGTGGTCCTTATTTTTTCTAAAGCTACCATGTTCCAATTCATCTCTCCTCTAAGACTGTACTTTTCCACTAGATGCATCCATTTAGCTAAGTCTCTTTCCTACTCACAGTCTCTTACTTTCTGCTGTTTGTCCAGTGTTCCATCACATACCTGGAGTATGTCCAGGGGTTGTCGAGGTCATGGAGGTACTTGGGGTAGTCATAGGAGGCATCACCAAGACTGTTGGCCTAATTGGTACAACTGTTGGGCTGGGCTGGGGTGTCGTAGGAATTGTGGGCCTTTTAGTGGGGACAGTAGATTTTTCAGTGGGGATGGTGGTCTTTTTAGTGGAGGCAGTGGGCTTTTCTGTAGGGATGGTGGGTTTTTCTGTGAGGATGGTAGTCTTTTCAGTGGGGATGGTGGGTTTTTCTGTGGTCTTTTTAGTGGGGGTAGTGGGCTTTTCTGTGGGGATGGTAGTCTTTTCAGTGGGGATGGTGGGTTTTTCTGTGGGGATGGTAGTCTTTTCAGTGGGGATAGTAGTCTTTTTAGTGGGGGCAGTGGGCTTTTCTGTAGGGACAGTGGGTTTTTCTGTGGGGATGGTAGTCTTTTCTGTAGGGACAGTGGGTTTTTCTGTGGGAATGGTAGTCTTTTCAGTGGGGACAGTGGGTTTTTCTGTGGGGATGGTAGTCTTTTCAGTGGGGACAGTGGGTTTTTCTGTGGGGATGGTAGTCTTTTCAGTGGGGATAGTCTTTTTAGTGGGGGCAGTGGGCTTGTCTGTAGGGACAGTGGGTTTTTCTGTGGGGATGGTAGTCTTTTCAGTGGGGACAGTGGGTTTTTCTGTGGGGATGGTAGTCTTTTCAGTGGGGATAGTCTTTTTAGTGGGGGCAATGGGCTTTTCTGTAGGGACAGTGGGATTTTCTGTGGGGATGGTAGTCTTTTCAGTGGGGACAATGGGTTTTTCTGTGGGAATGGTGGTCTTTTTAGTGGGGATGGTAGGTTTTTCTGTGGGGTTGGTGGTAGTTTCAGTAGGGACAGTGGGTTTTTCTGTGGGGATGGTAGGCCTTTTAGTGGGGACAGAAGAGTTTTCTGTGGGCATAGTGGTCTTCTCAGTGGGGATAGTAGGCTCTTCAGTGGGGATGGTGCATGTTTCTGCAGACTCGGTGGTCTCTTCAGTGGGGATGGTGCATATTCCTGTGGACTTGGTGGTCTCTTCAGTGGGGATAGTGTGTCTTTCTGCAGGGAAGGTAGTTTTTTCTATAGGGACGATGGGCTTTTCTGTGGGCATGGTGGTCTCTTCAGTGAGGACAGTGAGTTTTTCTGTGGGGATGGTGGTCTTTTTAGTGGGGGCAGTGGGCTTTTCTGTGGGGACAGTGGTCTTTTCAGTGGAGATAGTGGGTTTTTCTGTGGGGATGGTGGTTTTTTCTGTGGGGACAGTGGACCTTTTAGTGGGGATGGTGGGTCTTGCTGTTGGGAGAGTAAGTTTTTCTGTAGGGATGGTGGGTTCTTCAGTAAGGATGGTAGGTTTAGCTGTGGAGACAGTGAGTTTTTCTGTAGGGACAGTGGACCTTTCAGTGGGGATGGTGAGTTTTGCCATAACGATAGTTGGTTTTGCTATGGGGATGGTGGGTTTTTCTATAGACATGATGAGTTTTTCTGTGGGCATGGTGGGTTTTTCTGTGGGAATAGTGGTCTCTTCGGTAGCGATGGTAGGTCTTTCTGTGGTAACAGTAGTCCCTTCCACGGGTACCATGGGTTTTTCAGTGTGGACAACAGGCTTTTCTGTGGGCATGGTGGGTTTTTCTGTGGGAATAGTGGTCTCTTCGGTAGCGATGGTGGGTTTTTCCGTGGGGACTGTAGGTCTTTCTGTGGTAACAGTAGTCCCTTCCATGGGGACCATGGGCTTTTCAGTGTGGACAATAGGCTTTTCTGTGGGCATGGTGGGTTTTTCTATGGGGATGGTGGTGTGGATGGTGGTCCTTGCAGTGTGGACGGTGGGTTTTTCTGCAGGGATAGTAGGCTCTTCTGTGGGGATGGTGGTCCTTTCAGTGTAGATGGTGGTCCTTTCAGTGTGGACAGTGGGCTTTTCTGTGGAGACAGTGGGCTCTTCAGGAGGGGCTGTGGACTCCTCAGTGGGGACAGTGGACTCCTCTGTGGAGATAGTGGGCTCTTCAAGGCTTAGAGAAGTCTCTTCAATGGGGACAACAGACTCTTCAGTAGAGATAGCCGATTCTTCTGTGGGGATGGTAGACTCTCCAGTGAAGACAGTGGGCTCTCCGGGAGGGACAGTGGTCTCCTCAGCAGGGACAATGGGTTTTTCAGTGGGAATAGTGGGCTCTTCTGTGGGGATGGTGGGCTTTTGAGTGGGGATGGTGAGTTTTTCTGTGGGAAAGGTGGATTTTTCTGGGGGAAAAGTAGATCTTTCTGGGGAGACAGTGGACATTTCTGAGGGCACCATGGGATATTTTGTGGAGATAGTGGCTATTTCACTGAGGACAGTGGGTTTTTTTGTGGGGGCCATGGTATTTTCTGTGGGGACAGTGGCTATTTCACTGGGGCTAGTGTAATTTTCTGGGGGGTGCATGGGTTCTTCTGTGGCGGCCATAGTTTTCTCTGTGGGAGTCATAGGTTTTCCTGTGGAGACAGGAGTTTCAGAAGGGCCAGGGGGGGAAACTGGAGATTTGGAAGGAAGCTCTGTTGGCACTGTTCCTGCAAAGAAAAACAAACAAACAAACAAGCACTGGAGTTTAGTCAAAATCATACTGTCACCTTCTTCAGTCGCTTCAAGTGGGCAGGCTCAAAGAGTAACTCACACCTCTCCCACTTCCAAAGCCAATCTTCACTCACTTAACAAACTCTCAACAAACACTGCTCCTAATATATGTCAGACGTTATGCCAGATACAGGAAACACAACATGAACAGGATGTCAGTCCTCCCTTCAGGATTGCCCGTCCACTAGATAAGGGGTTGCGGATCCAGCCACAGAAATTCACGGCATCAAAGCCACATTCACTCAAGCAAGCATCCTGGTAAGACCGGGAAGGTCGAGGTGGGCAGAACATGGAACACAAAGCTGTGTGAAAACTCAAGCATGAGAGAGAACTTGATTTTCACCAGTTCCAGAGACGGTCATCTCAGATCAGGGCCCCCCTTTTGCGGCCCTGGATTTGTCTTACCTCGACAAGTCTCATGATTGATCAAGATAAAATCCACAGCAACAACAAAGGCAGTGTTGGTACCCCTGATAGCCTCCAAGATCAGCTGAAGGTAATGAGGGACAGACAAGAGAGAAATGCAGATGAATCTAGCCTCAACAATCCAACTCTGCCCCCACTCCTTTTCAGGAACCAGGTATCCCTCTCAGGGACACCAAGTTCACCTCTGCTCCACTCCCTTTCCAGGGGCCCCTCTTCTCAGCCCTGATTGTATCCAGGCATTATGGCCCCCCTCACCACGTTCCCCACAGACGCTGACAGGGGGCGCCCTCTCTGTCTCTCACCTGCATGGGCTGTTGATGCCCCAAAGGGATGGTGACAGAGGTGTTCAGCCAGTCAGGACTCTGAGACCCAACACGTTGCCAGATAGTAGATGGGGAACTGCCCGCAGGGCTCTCCAGCAGGAGATTGAGCTTAGTGCCCTCTCCGAGGCCATACATGTGGTAGGCAAACTCCACACAGATGGCACCCGGGGCACAGAAGGGCCGGCTCACCAGTCTGGAAGACTGGCCCGCCTCAGAGAACTTGTCAGCCTCGATGTAAATATAGCGACCTTCTGGGCAAAAAAGAAGGCAGTCAGAAGAAGGACAAGATGACAGACCGCCACAGGAACAACCCAGCATGGTTTTCTCTCACAACACCGTGCTTTCCAAAGAGGGTCTGACGCGAGCACGCAAACTCCCCACATTGTAGCAGGTCCCCCCCCCACCCCGCTGCTGGTTTTGGACTTCTAACTGAAGAAGGCAGGAGCCGAAAGAAAGGGAAAACTAAATCATGGGCTGCACCAGTAAATGTCTTGACTGAAAATGAGATTGTGGATTTTGAAGCCTTGGGCTCTGCGAAGTGAGATGCCTGCATTTTCCGGAGAGTTCAGTGACCCCACAGCTATAAAAGTTTTCAACTCACTCTACTTCTGTCCTCTTGCCACAGCTCGGGCACCAGGGCAGCTTCCCAGGAAACACCTGCTGGCTGGTCTTCACCATCTCCAATATCTTCTTCCATCAATCACACCAGTCAACCCCCACCCCACCCCAGCTGGGAGAAGATTCAGTAATTTGTTGGCTTGAGGGATCCTCAATCCTCACCTCCAGAAGCACCTGTACCCTGGATGTGCATAGTTTTATTTGCATGGGTCCAGTGTCCGCCATCCCCTGATGCCTGGGCCCAGTCACAGAAGGGATGGGCATCATCTTCGAAGTCACACTGAGGAAAGCTCTCTAGGAGTCAAAATGGGAGATGTGAGCAACGTGGGCCATGCTTTCTATTCCCCTGCGACCCTCCCCGGCCCCCCGTTCTGAGCAATGTGATCTTTCCGGGGCCTAGTTCTCACCCCCACAGGGAGCAGTGCTGATCGCATCCACTGCCACAGCTGGCTCTGGGGTCTCTCCAAACACACCCACCACGGTGAACTGAAAAGACACATAAAGGGGGCTGGGAGTGAAAAAACAGCCCAAATGCCCTATCTCTCCCCCCATCTAATTTTATTCTATTCAGGAACCCAGGCACCCTGCTCCCAGTGCGCAAACCCTCAATCCATTTCAGATTGTGCAAGAGATCCTGACCTCTCGCTCCTCTGTACCTGAATTTGTCCCTGGGCTGTGTAATTGACAGAAACAGGCTGCCAGTTGGGTCCAGGTTGTCCTGAGAAGAGAGTGTGTTTCCGGATGCTGCCTGCAATGAGAGGAATCCGAGAGAGAACTGATTTATTAAGAGGACTGAAAAATGACTTCCAACGTATACTCTCAGAAGGATGAGTAGCAAAGAGAATACTTGGGAGCGTATTCCTCTCTCCCAAATGGGAGCAGGTCCTTCTCTCTCCCTCTCCTGGCACTTGTATCTGTTTTTTCCAGAAGCCTGATTCCACTCCGTGGAGTAACTTTGCATATATCCTAGATTTCCCTAGACCCTAAGGGATGCCCCATAGTTTCCTGTCAACCTAACCCTGGGAGATGAGCCTCAGGTCCCTGGAAAGCCAGCGACTGCCAGTCTCACCCAAGACGGAAGCAGAGACAGTGAGGGCTGCACCAGGTGACCGTCCACGGAGGATATAGTGGAAGGACAGGCTCAGACAGCCAGAGAAATGGCTCCGCGGGCTCAGGAGGACAGATTTCTGCTTCGGTTTTGCATTCTTGGGGTCCAGGAGCATGTAGAAGCCACCTACATAGGAAAAGGCCGGTAAGGTGAGATGGCTGAAATTGAGGGAGTCGGGCACAGGGACAGGACTCTGGGACTGCAGGGGTCCTGAGCCTGGGAAGCCCCAACAGCTGTCTACGATCAGCCAGCGCTGAGGGGGGCCCACATCTGGCCGTGGACTTCGAGCCTTCCAGAAATGCTTGGCAAGAATGATGAGGACACAGGCACTGCCGTATGAAACGCAGCATGCTCTCAGAAGCAGCAGGGAGAACCCCGTCCTTTGGATTCTGACGCTTTAGGTGCCCCCTGAGTCCTGCCTTCTTCCTTTTCCCAACCCATTGGACCTCCTAGCAGCTCAAGAAGCCAATCAGCTTGGAGCTCGCTCCGTGACGCAACTGGTAGCCGGAGGAGGGGCTTAAGGCTGCGCAGGCGTGCTCGTCCCTGACTCCCACTCCGTCCCGTCAGGTGAGCGCGCTCGCACCCTGCCGGGAATGGCGGCTCCGGAAAGGCGGAAAGGGGTGGAGGGGAGAAAGGGGGAGAAAAGGAAGGGAAGATGGAAAAATAGGAAGCAAGAGGGAAAAAGTGAGAGAGAGAGAATTAAAACAACAGCCACCGTTTACTGACGCCGCAGGGCTCGGCCTGGGGGGCTAAGGCTCAGGCGGTGGGGCGGGGGTAGGGGGCGGTGATGCCGGGCCGGGCCGGCCCCGCCCTGCTTTCCAGGGCGTCTGAGTGAAGGGGAGGGGTGGTTCTCCAGGTCTTTTTAGAAGGCTGGCCTCAGGGACCCTGGGTGGCTCAGTGGGTTAAGCCTCTGCCTTCGGCTCAGGTCTTGATCCCAGGGTCGTGGGATTGAGCCCCGTATAGGGCTCTCTGCTCAGCGGGGAGCATCCTCCCCTCCCCACCCCTTCCTGCCTCTGTGCCTACTTGTGATCTCAATCTCTCTCTCACACAAATAAATAGATAAAATCTTAAAAAAAAAAAAAAAAAAAGCCGACCTCAGGCAGCGGGGAAAGAGCCCAGGAAGGAGAGAAAGTCGTTGGAGTGAGCCAGAGGGCTTATGGGCAGTGGGGGGAGACGGAGGAGAAGAGGAAAGAACAGGAAACGGAAGGGAGAGGATTGTGGTTGGAGAAATGCAAAGGGACACAAAACAAAGAAGTGGGAACTTAGGAAAAAAAATTTGGGGGCGTGGGTTAGGGTTAGGGTTAGTTTGTGGGATGGCAGCGGGGTGGGGGGTGGGAAGCTGAGTGTGTGTAGTTTGCTTTCTGCTGAGTAACCTGAGTTTTGAGGTCGCTGGGGTTCACCTCGCCCCATCCCGGGGCAGTTATTACTGCCCGGTAAGGCAAACATCGTAAGCTCCTGCAGAGGTCACTAGAAGCCCAGAAAGGCAAAGGGCGGAAGCATGGCCGTTACTCACTACCAGGGCTAGAGAAATCATCCTCGGGCCCCACGTTGGGCACCCCGGAAGGCCCCTTCTTCTGGACCCACTTGGCCCCAGAGGCTGTTGGGATCCAGCTCCAGCCACAGAGATCGTTTGGAACGTCGAAACTGCACGTCTGCATCATGCAGACTGAGGGGAAGAAGAGGGAGAAGGGAGGATTTAGCTTTTTCTAGGAGGAGGCAGCTCCAAAAAGTACGCCGCAGCCTGGGGTCAGAATTCCGAGTGTCAGTCTGTGGCCTACTGTCCACCGTGGGGGGCTTAATTCCTGGGACAGATTGGTTAAGCTGCCTGTTAGTTTCTTCATTTGTAACTGGGAACAGCAGTACCCGCCTGTCATAAATTAGATCGTAAATGAGGAGCCGCTAGCATAATCCTGTCCTCAGTAAGGGTTAGTTCCTTGCACTCAGCTTCTGGAATTTACCTTCACTTGAATTTGCTCCCCTGGAGTCTCTAATGTCAACTAAGAGGGCTGATTGTGGGTGAAACTGGGGTAATAGCTAGGGTGACCAGTTGGGGCCGGGAACGGAGGATTTCCCGAGATGCAGGACTTTCAGGGCAAAAAGAGGGGCAGCCCAGGGCAAAGTGGAATGGTTGGTCACTTGAGAAAAGGTATCACTACAACCCTATTAAAAGAGAACCTCTCTTTCGGTGTGGCTGCTTCAGGATTCAAAGGTGTGAGATGTGGAGGCAGAGGGAAGCAAGGAGCCCCAACTCCGAGAGAAAGCAGGGTCGTGGTCCCTGAGCTACTTCTGCCACCCTCGGCAGGTGGTGGAGGCAGAGAGAAAGAGGAAGAGGGACTGGGGCTTACTGCGATTACAGGAGCCCCGATGGATAGAGATCGCATCCAGAGAGATGTCCAGGTAAGCCGTGCTGCCCCTCACTCCTTCAAACATCACCTGTGGGAGAAAGGACCACTCACCCTGTAAGCTCCTTTGCCTCAGGCTCCCGGTTTTCCTGCCTGAATTCAGATGGCCCAGCCCCGCACCTCCTCCTTGCTCCAGCCCCTCCTGCCCAACCCCCCCCCACACACACACCCAGATTCCCCCCTGGGGCTCAAGCCTCTGCCCTTGGCCTCACCTGGCTGGGGAGGACAAGCCCCATAGGCACGGTGACAGCAGTGGGCATCCAGGAGGGGCTCTGGGTGTTAATGTGCTTCCAGAGCACGCTGGGGTGCTTTTCCTTGGTGTCCCTGAGCAGTAGCAGTCTGAGCTGGGCGCCCCACGACAGCCCGAACATGTGGTAGGCGAAGTGCACACAGAGGGGGCCTTGCTCCCATATGGGGGGGCTGCGTAGACGGGCCACCCCGCCCTGGTGGAAGGTGCTCGATTCCATGTGCAGGTAGTGGCCCTCTGGGGAAGGCAGAGCCCAGGATGGCGAGGGGGCCCTGCCGCCCCCGTCCAGAGTCCAGGCACCCACTTCCAGCTGCCTCCCTTCTCCCTGTGCCCAGGTCTGCCCGAGCCCACCTCCCAGCTGTCTCCCGAAAGCTTAGGCTTCCTCACCTCCATTGGGGTACCCCCCGGGGGGACCAGTGGTGCCGGTGGGGGAGGGCCCACTGGCTCGAATCCAGTCCCCGTCATCTGTGGATGCTTGGGTCCAGTCACAGAGGGGTTTGGAGTTATCCTCAAAGTCACACTGGGTGAGAACGGCTGGGAAGAAAGGGCTGCTCTGAGGCCAGGACGAGGGAGAGGGCCAACCTGGGGGCTGGGGTTAGCCGGGTTTCTAAGCTTGGGAGCTGGGGTTAGCCGGGTTTCTAAGCGTAGAGAAGGCAGCCACTAGGAGATTTGGGGTCCAGAGCAGAGTTTCTTTTTTTTTTTTTTTTTTTAATTTTATTTATTTATTTATTTATTTATTTTAAAAGATTTTATTTATTTACTTGACAGACAGAGATCACAAGTAGGCAGAGAGGCAGGCAGAGAGAGAGGGAAGCAGGCTCCCCGCTGAGCAGAGAGCCCGATGCGGGGCTCGATCCCAGGACCCTGAGATCATGACCTGAGCCGAAGGCAGAGGCTTTAACCAACTGAGCCACCCAAGCGCCCCTTATTTATTTATTTGACAGAGATCACAAGTAGGCAGAGAGGCAGGCAGAGAGAGGGGGAGAAGCAGGCTCCCTGCCGAGCAGAGAGCCCGATGCGGGGCTCGATCCCAGGACCCCGAGATCATGACCTGAGCCGAAGGCAGAGGCTTAACCCACTGAGTCACCCAGGCGCCCCAGAGCAGAGTTTCTTAAAAGAGAACCCGAGAAGTAAGAATCTCTTAGGAGGGATTCAGGCCAGGGGTCAGGGCAGAATGACTTCTGGGACAGTGGTGGCAAGCTGAGGGGCCAGAGGCTGGATTCAGCCGGGTGGACAGGCTTTGTGTAGGCGCATACATTTTGTTGTTATTCGAACGTGACTGTTCCACGTAGGGTTTGGCCTCTACTCCTCCGTGTTTCCTCCACCCCTTAACATTCACTACATGTCTGTGCCATCACTCAGCCCCGAGGGCACTGAAGGTGGCCGTCCCAGGGAAGGAGAGAGATCTGAACCGTGCTGGTTTCCAACTCACAGTTATCCCTCGAGCTGCGAGCAACTGCCTTCCAGTCCGGAGGCTTCTCTTTCCTTGGGGTTGATTTGGAGAAAGAAAGAAGGGTGGGGGGGAGGAATATTTGTCATTATCGAGAATCATAAGCGTCGATGATCGCGAGCTTTCTGAGCGGTCATTCATGGAAGACGTTTCCTTTCGTGTTCGCCATATCATACCAGTATGGGCAGCGAACGTATATTTACTTGTCTTCTTTAAGGTTTTCAAAAGGCCATCCAGCCTCCTTGCGTTAAATTCTCATCTATCTCCTAAAAAAAAGAAAAAGCATCTCCCTTCCGAGCTTCTCCCATCCCCACAGGGCCCCTCAGCGCCTCTGTGCCTGAGGTGGCCTGCGTGGTAGAGGCTGGCTTTCTGGAGCGATCCTTAAGTGTCTGAACCTGGGGAAGCTCCTTCCTTCAGACCCAAAGTGGGGACTTTGTGAGTCCCCTGCTGCCACGTGGGTGGCAAGTGGTCCTGCCTCAGCCATAGGCCACTGAACATATAGACGAGTTACAGAGGGCTGGCCCTTCCGAACCCTCCGAACTCCCCAACCCCACAGAGAGACCAGCTGCCCCTCCACAGGTGGCGTGGACCACAGGAAACAGCCCTCCCCTTTACTCCTTCAAGTTCTGTTTGCTCAGATCGTCCCCAGACAAGCTCTAGGACACCAAGCCATCCATCAGGTCTCACTGCCTCTACCTGAAGTCTCCTATCTGCTGAATTTGCCCATTTTCTGAGAGCCCCACCCGTCTTTCCTGTCTGTCTCCCCAGCTCTGTGCCCCCTCCCTCTCTCTCAAGTCCGGGCTCTGTCTTGTTCTCGCTGAGCTGCTCACACCCCTCAGTTCCAAGTTCTCGGGCTGCGGGTTTCCCCCCACCATCCCAGTTCATCATCTTCTTCCTCCCCAGGGCTGTGTCCTTCATGGTTCCCTGCTTACGCCCTCCAGCTTTGCCCCTCGCCCTCCCTCGGAGCAACCTCTGATCACTCCCTGAGCCCAGCTTACCGGACAGCGGCAGGCAGGCGGCCCCGGCCCCAGGCAGCCCCCACCAGCAGCACCAGAGTCCAGACTGGAGGAGCCATGTGGAACCTCAGAGGCGGTTCTCGGAGAGGGGAAGGCACAGTAAGCCCAGGCCACTTTATCCACCCCTGACCCTCCTCGCTTGACAATCTTCGGAGAATGCCATGAAAACCAGACAGAGAACACGGGAGCCCTCTGGGAAATGGAAACTACGAGGGTGGAAATGTAATCTCCATCAAAGAGAAATGAAGTGAGAGCAGGAGAGAAGGAAGGCAAGAAAGACAAGAGAAAGAGACTCAGAGAACCCGTCCAGGAAGTCTAACATCCAAACAAAAGGGTTCAAAGCAGAAGGAACCAAGGAGAAGAAATGCCTTAAGAGAAACCACACAGGAAGATATCCCGGGACTGAGATACAGTCTCTTGATTAGAAGGGGTCTCGTTTGATGAATGCAAGGACACCCATGGAAGGCATGTCATGAGATTCGAGAGTAGCAGGGGGGAAGAGAAGACCCTAACCACTTTCAGATAGAAAAAAGCAAGTCACATACTTTCTAAGGATCGGGAATCAGCATGGCGTCAGGCTTTTCAATAGCAACCATGGGTTCTAAAAGGCCGTGGAACATTGTCTGCAGAATTCCAATGGAAAATCATTTCAAACCTAAAATTCTATAGCTGGCAACAGTGGCATAAACGACTGGCCAGTCATATGAGGTGGGACTGGAAACGCTTAATGGCAAAGAACTGAAAAAGACAAGTCCCACAGAAGACGTGCCACCAGCTGGTAAACATTGGAAAAGAGGTTCTGTTTCACTAGTATTAAGGAAAATGCTAGTCAAAACTACAGCTGTCACAGTGACCACCGTTTAAGTGACTGAAAGCATTGCGTGTTGGCCAGGACGTAGGTAGACACACTCAAATACACTGGTGCTAAGACTGTAGGTTGGGGAAGACTTCTCAGAAGGTAATGTGACAGTGACTCTTAAACTTTCTAGCGTGCATGGTTTCGACCCACCTTATTTTTCTAGGAACCTCTCCACAGAAATCCACGTGTATTTGCCTAAAGCTGGGCACACCTTAAAGATGATCATTGGCGTATGGGTTATAATAGGGAAAAAAAAAAATCAAAGATTACCTAAATGTTTACCCGCAGATAGACCGTTGGATCACACTCAAGGAATATTTTTTCATATGAAGGAATATTATGGAGGTATTAAAAAGAATGGCACCCTTCATAAATTAAAAATTAAAAATAGACTTACCATAGGGTCCAGCAATTCCACTTCTGGGTGCATAGACCCAAAAGAATTAAAAGCAAAGACTTGAAGAGAGGCAGTATTTGCCATAACCAAAAGGTGAGAGCAGCCCAAGAGTCAAACAAAATATGGTGTATTCGTACAATGGGATATCATTCCACCTTTGAAGTGAGGAAATTCTCACACATGCTACACCATGGAAGAGACGATGCCAGCTAAAGCAAGCCCGACACAGAAGGACAAATACAGGATTCCGCTTATCCGAGTTACCTGCAGCAGTCAAACTTCCAGAGACG